TTAATTTTTTTTTGCATGTAGAAGTTTTTCTTCTTTCAAATGTTTGACTTTTGGAGCTCAGAATTTTAATTTCAGAAATCTAGAAAAACTGAAATTTTTTAATTTAAAGCAAAAAATGTTCAACTGATTTAAAGCCAAAATTAAGCCAAAACAATACAAAAATAGATAAATTTAGCATTTTAGCTACAACAAACAAAAATAAAAAAAACTAATACTCTACTCAAAACTCAAGTGGAATAGTTTTAGCTTCACCTGATTCCATTCCTGATTTAAAAAATCTCACACTAAGCACCTTTTTTAATTACCGACTGGTTAATTCAAAATTTAACATATAAATGTACTTTAAAACACTTTACTTTCTCACCATTTTGACCCGGATAAGGCTGAAGGTTTTTCCGGGTTGGAGTTGAAGCAGAAGGAACGGTTTGTGTCTCTGGTGTTTTCTGACTCACTGAAGAAAGAAGATTCCGGCCTGGTTTATCCGGAGCAGCCGAGGCCCGGTTCTGAACCTGCTGGACCTTAGAACAGAAGGACAGCCGGGAGCCAAACCCTGAAGCTCCAGGCTCCCGCAGAGGAACCAAAACCTGAGGCTGAGGTCTCATCTTGGCCAGTGGCTGCTGAGTGGAAAAGGTTAAACACTGTAAACTCATTTTGTGCTGCATCAAGATCATAATGTTCTAAAAGGGCAGATTCTACCAGAATATGTAGCTAAAACCCATAAACAACGCTAATATATTAATAAATAGCTGTTTCTGAATTTGCTAAATATTAAATTTTTTCAGGTTTTTTTCCCAGTTACTCAAAATCACCAATTTTGGGAGCTAAATTAGGAATATTTGGAATATTTCCACTTATTGATAATGTCTTTAGATGTGACTTTTTTCTCTCCAAATCAATCACTAACTACGAGTCAGCAGTGGAGTAAAAGTAAGAACTACTGCCACCTGCAGGTGGGAGTCAGAATCACTAAAACCCCAATGTTTGACCTTTTTTGCAAACAATTTTCAGTAAACTCCCAGTCATAAAATATTTAAAATGAAAAAAATTATTCTCACCCTAAGATTCAAAGAAATAATACTTAATAATATATATCATGATAGAGACATGATCAATATCAACAGATAATACGGCCAATAGAACGGCCAATAATTTCACCAAACTTTGACCCAGAACCGCACAGTATTCTGGGAGATGTAGGCAGAGGAAAGGCTTTAGCTGCGAAACCTTTCACAGTTGGTGGCAACAACCAACTCACTCATTTGGTGACCTAGCAACAACTTGCTGAGTCACTTGTGGTTTCTCAGCAACAACCTGTTGAGTAACTCCCGGAGCAACAGTTTAAAGTACCTCGTAACTGCTCAAGAATAAATCACAGCGTGAAAACTGTGAATAAAACAAGAGAAATCACACCACCAAACTGATAATATTTCAGATATTTAAAACAAAAAACTAATACTAGAGGGCCACATAAAAAGCTGTGCCGGGCCACATTTGGCCCTCGGACCTCGAGTTTGTCACATGACACTAAACTACGATGTTTAAAGCGTTTACCTCCGAGTTCTTGGCTTCGTGAGCCAACCTCTTCCTCCCGGTAAAGGTTTGAGTTGCAGCGTTCACCTCCGGTTTTTCCACTTCGGCTCTAATCTGGAACAGAAAAAGCGAATCAGAAAATTATCACACTAAAATTAAGACTCTGTAGTGACCATTTGTCTATAACTCAAATTAAAAAAAACGTAAGACTTCAAAGCGATCAAAACAAAAAGTGAAGCTAACTCAAATAGTCACCTGATGCAAAGAACTTATTTTAAATAACAAATTAAAAATTCTAATTATAAATCAACTAGAAAATAAGCAAAAAATGAACTAAATTCTAAGATTTAACAGAAAATGGAGAAATAGCACCGACAGACTCATTTTGATACACCTACAGACGCGGCGCTCTGCTCCTCGCTTCCCTTCTCCTCGCCGTTTGACTCCATGAAGATCCGGTAGCATTCCTCCATCGGGTCGATTTCAGATGGCGAAGAGTAATTACTCTCATCTTCAGGATCTTCATCCTCAGGACTGGAGTCTATTATTATCACGGCTTCATCTTCCTCCTCCAGCAGTTGCTCTGTTGATTCAGATCTGCTGTGCGGATTTAGAGATGTAACTTTGTGAATCTGAATCTGGCTGCTGCCTTGTGCTGCCTCCACTTGGTTCTGGTTGGTGAAAACTTTCGTCTTTGGTTTTTCACCATTTTGTAAAAAGCATAACTGGCTCTGAACCTTGAGTTTGTCTTGGTCTGTCACTGAGGTTTGTTCAAGTTGAGTGATGGGATCTGATTGCTTACAAACAAGTGAATTTTGAGATTTTAAATCTTTTTTCTGAACTTTATAAGTCAGCTCAATCAGAGGATTGCTTGGTTGATTTGAGGGGAAGGAAAAACCTCCAGGTTCAGGCCGTTTATTTTTCCTTTCAGGGGACTGGAAAACAATATCCTCAAGCTCTTCTAAATATCCGGTTAAGTCAACTACATTCCTGTCATCATTGCTGTAATCTTTTGTTTTATCACAAGTAGAAGACACAGGATGGATCTCAGGGACTTTGTTTGCATCGTCACAGGAAGCAGAATTTACCACCTTCGTTTTTACCGTCTGAGGTTGAGAGGCAAAATAAACATTCACCGTCTTAATCTCCTTCAAGTCTCTTTCTGTATTTTGGGAGGATTTTCCAGAGTCAGCAGTGTGTTGAGTTTGATCCAACGTTTTGTCAGGTGACAGAGAAACATCAATAACCAGGACGCCATCTTCAGTCGAGTCGTCGTCGAGGATTTCTGGGGAACGCGGTGGGAACATCTGGGTTTGATGAATGGATGGCTTTTCACCAAAAGACCTGGAGTGCTTTCCGTCTGGTTGGCTCTTCACTTCCTTTCCTGATGAGCTGTAAGAATGTAAAGCAGCAGAAAAGTTGGACAGCGGATCATACTCTAAATCAGTCCTCGGCTTTGAGTTGTCTACCACATATTTCTTTGCTTGAACGTGGGATTTATGGTTTTTGCTAGAAGAAAATCCATAGGAAAGGTTAGTTTCAAACTTTGTTGAGAGTTTATTGTTGTTTTTGTCTGCGTGGTTAGCCTGATAGCTTGATAGGCGCCGCTGCTCCTGCTCCACTTCGTGCCTTACAGATTCAATCTCCTTATCGAGTCGTTCCAGCTCATGCAGGGAGTTGTTAACGGTCGTAAAAATGCTGTCACACTGGTCCCCTGTTAGCCACAGGAAATAATAGATATTACTGTTTGTGCAACACACACTGGTATAAATAACTCACCAGTGAAATTAACAGTAGCTGAGTTTCCATTACAAATGTTCAGAAAACTTTGTAGATATTCTGCTAACATTGAAAAAACAATTTTTTTTAATTACAAAGTTTCCATTAACTTGTTAAAAATTACATCTGAGTTCTACAGTAACTTTTTCAATTGACATGTTAATTGAAAAAGATGAGTATGTATGCTTTTCTATGACCTGAACATGATTTTCTGGGGAGGCAACATTTTTCAAAAGGGGTGGTGGCACCCCGTGCCCTCCCCTTCGGAATGCCACTGGAAACTTAAATACATCTAGAAAAGCTTAGACTAAAAATATTTCAAGGCATAATTTAATGCAAAACACTTCCACCAACAAATCTTTAACTTCAGTGTTTCTGGTGTACGATTGTAGCAAGGAGGACTCTGTGATTCAACACAAACATGGATCAGAGAGACATAAGGATTATTGACCCCAACTTGTGAAATATGATAAAACACAAATGTTTTTCTTAGTAAACCCCAACAAAACAAATGTACTGAAGTTAAAGGTTGGGTTTTTCTATATTTTCTAGCGTGAAATCATGTTACTCCAATGAAATTAAATTCAACAATCATCTATCAATAGTTTCCAGGTGTAGAAAGAAATCGATCTGGATTGGAGCAGGTAAAATTTACTTTATGAGCTCTAACATTGGGCACAGCAAATCTATAAGTATAAAATACTTTTCTTCTTTTTGATAAATCTAAAATGTTTGGTTTTAACCTCAATTTGATTAATCTTGACTTTCATAGTCTCTCAATGACTTCAAAGCTTTTTGTGAATAACATTTAAACCAGGTGGAATGGTCACTTAATGCGGAAGTATTTTTGTTTCTGTTCATGTATAATGCGCTCAAATTCAACATTAGAAACACGAAGTTAACTCATATAAACCCCACTGACCTGTTAAATCCACCACGGGTGATTTATACAAGCCACCAAACGTTCCCCTCGACTCTGTGGCGTGTTTGTATAAACAATGAGGCCTCGCACAAAGCCCACGCAGCGAAAACGGACAAGTTATGTGAATGAAAAGACCGGAGGAAGGAAACATGGCGGAAAATTAACAATTAGACAGCGAATCTCAGCCAGCTGGGCGTTTAGCATCGATTTATATAGGCTTTGCAAACGTCGCGATAAATTCTGAAATTAAATAATTTTTATAATAATTAAACAAATAATTATAAAGATATGTACCACATACATATTTATAATCATTCAGCTTACTTTCATTGACTTAAACATTGTTTGTTCTTTATGATAATTTTAAGTTCTGCAGTAATTCATCCACAATGTTAGATGGCGCTGTTGTATACTATTGGCGTAGACTGCACAGTCTTCATATTGTGAGTGGAAAAAAAGTAACAAAAAAATTGAACACAAATGTTTATCAGTAGTTCATTTTGAACATGTGAGACTATATATATATATATATATATATATATATATATATATATATATATATATATATATATATATATATATATATATATATATAGTCCGCATTTGTTCAGAGTAAAGTGGTGTAATAGTTACTGATTGGTTTTTGGTTGCTGTTAATTAATTACTTACAGCTGAAACTTTTGGGATATTTTTGTTCTGACTTTGTTCAAGTCAGAACAAAATGCCACTCTCAACATGGCGGCGACGTTGATTCTTGATCCGGATGCTGTTCATGCAGTGAGCGCTTTCGGGGCGTCACGCCTGGTGCTGCAGAGTAAACAAACTCGCTGACATGAATCTTTCTGAGAGGGATGACAGTGACGGTGAGGTGGAGGAAGATGAGAGCGAGTGGAAAACGTGTTTCGGGGATTCAGCTGCGGTTCGTCCCGCCACAGCTGCTGCTGCTTCTGGTAAAATGTGACGCTAGAAACCCAAGTTAACTTGGAGCTGTGACGGATATTGTGTGTGATTCTAATGTTGGTTTATTTCAGGGCCAGTCATTAAGAGCCCTGAATCTACACACAGAGTTATTCTGCATTTTGACCTGGACTGCTTTTATGCTCAGGTGGAAATGATCAGAAACCCAGAACTAAGAGATGTTCCTTTAGGTACCAAGCCAGTAGAGAATATAAAAATCATTGTTCTCTGGGTAAAAACTGAAGCCCATTTTCATGTCATCAGGTGTACAGCAGAAATACATCATAGTCACCTGTAACTACGTGGCCAGGGAACGGGGCGTCACCAAGCTGATGTCTGTTACTGGTGCAAAGGAGAAATGTCCTGAACTGGTGCTGGTGAAAGGAGAAGACCTGACACACTACAGAGAAATGTCCTACAAAGTCACAGGTAAGCCTGAGGAATGTTTCGAAAACGAAAACATGTGAGACAAACATTAAACAAGCCATTAATTAAAAGTCTGTAGACACATCTTTAGAAGCAAAAACCTTTTGGTGCCGATTTCAGACTTTGTTAGATTATTTAGTTTACATTTCTATTTATGTATTTTGTATTTTCTTTGTCTCATTAAACATATTGCGCGATTCATTTCTATATTAATATTTTTAAAAGTTTATAATGGAAAGTTTAAAAACAACTAAATAAAATAAAAAAAAATAAAAGCAAAATGTGGAATATGTTTTGCTTATAGTTATTGACATATTTAAAATAAAATTGTGATATTTTTTGGCAATATTACCCCCTTTATTTAAAATACCAAAATTTCCACGTAAATTAGTATTTTAGTTCCATCTGTTTTTGAAATATTAAATGATTGATTTTTTGATCAGCTACTCAATACTTGAGTAATTCTTTACCAAATACCTTTTTACTCTTGATTAGTTTCTTGGACAGTTTTGTTTTACTTGATTAAAATATGTTGAACTACTCCTAATATCACTAGAGTACAGTTTTTATGTACTCTATCCAGCTCTGGTTTGGGGTTGTCATAAAAAAGGCGATTTTTATTTTTATTTTTAAGAATCCAGAATTTAGTGGAAAAGTATGAGATTTTAGCCATCATTTCTTGTGAACGCATCGTCAGCAGCTGGAAAACTCTTTAGATTGTTGATGATTAGGGAAGTTGTGTTTTCTGCAGCAAAACGCTCAAATATTTAACATTTCTTTGCTTACCTTGCTTTCTGCTTCCTGCTCAGATCTCCTGCTGTCTTACTGTCCGCTGGTAGAGAGGCTAGGATTTGATGAAAACTTTGTGGATGTCACAGAAATGGTTGAACAAAGATTGGCTGGGATGTCAGAGACCGACAGCCTCTCATTTAAAGGAAACGTCTTCAATCATTCCAGTAAGTTAAAAAAGTTCTTCTGGTTTGCAGCTGAACATCTGGCTCACTGAAACTGGCTTGTGAAAGAGCCAACACACAAACATCTGTGAAATATTTGCCTGTCAGTTTCAGTTTCACACCTAAAGTTTCTCCTTTTGGCTATTTTTCTTCCCCTGCGCAGGTGCTGATGCTAATGCTAGCCACCATCCAAGGCTGGCTATTGGTTCGCACATTGCAGCAGAGATGAGAGACGCGATACGCAGCAAGATCGGCTTGACTGGTTGTGCTGGCATTGCCACAAACAAGCTGCTGGCCAAACTGGTTTCAGGCACCTTCAAACCAAACCAGCAAACGGTTTTACTGCAGGAGAACGTTGGAGATATTATGGGATGTTTGAGTGGCCTCAGAAAAGTGCCAGGTATCCAGCCTAAAACATTTCAAAGCTGGATTAACTCATCCAAAGTTTTTTACATTAAAACTTTTTAAAACAAAAGCTTATTAGGAAAAAAAGTTTAACTGATCTTGGTCATAAACTTTGTCTTCTTTTCATTCACAACCAGTTTCATCTTGAGCAGCTTTCAGTAAAAGTGACGCAACTTAAAAAAGCTTAAATAACCGGGCCATCGGCGTACAAATGATTCTGTTTGCAGTTGCCGTCTCATTTTGAACTATAAGGAATAGAAGGAGGCTTAAACACATCCCTGGGGAACACCTTCAGATATTTTAAATGGTGTTGATGTTCCGTTTCTGGGGTTTCTTTCAGGCTTGGGCCACCAAACAGCCAAAAGGCTCCAAGCTTTGGGGTTAGTCAGTGTGAAAGACCTGCAGCTCTGCCCTCTGGGTGACCTGGCGAGGGAGTTGGGGGGAACCACTGCTCAGCGCCTGAGGAATCTGGCTCTCGGCATTGATGAATCAGCCGTCACACCCACTGGGGCCCCACAGGTAGGACTCGGCCCCAAATTTACCTATATATAAATTGTGGTTAACTGAGAATACTTTTTAAATTCTTTATTAATTAAATAATCCTTAAAACAAGGAAAGTCCTTCTTAATTTACCGATTTACTGCTTGTTAATTAAACTCTGCAGTCAATCAATATTGTAATAAATGGAATAATTATCATCTTTCTTTTATGACTTTTACTTATATATATATATATATATATATATATATATTGTTGTCCTCTTTGTGTTCCAGTCTCTCAGTGATGAAGACTCCTTTAAGAAAATGTGTTCAGTGAAGGAAGTCATGGCAAAGATCCGGGAGCTGCTCGGCAGTCTGGTGGAAAGGTCGGGTCATCACTAAATCCGTGTGTTTCTGGAATGAAACAGACTTTTTCTTTTAAAATTGTGTTTTGCTTGTCAAAACCAGGATGCACAAAGATGGCCGTCAGCCTCAAACCTTCAGGCTCACAATACGAAGATTCTCGGCGACCAACAAGTGGTTGAGTAGGGAGAGCCGCCAGGCCCCAATCCCAGGCGCCGTCGGGCAGAAGATCATCTCTGGTAGGCTGAAGTTACAGGAAATAAAACATTAGTATTGCTTTGAAGAATCCCAAAAGGATGTAATGATTGTCCGTTTATACATGCACAAATTTTAAATGTACGTTTTTGTTAAAGAAGTAACGTTTCCAGGTTTTGGTCTAGTTTTTGATAGTAAATGATGAACATAAGAGCATTCTTTGTTTCCACAAGCTTGACAGATAAAATGCATCTAAATTCTTTCAGTTATCATTGCCAAACCATTTTTAGATTCATTATATCCATTTAAGATAAAATATCTTACTTTTTCAACAAGTAAAGCCAAAAAAGTGAATTTGATGCACTTTGAACTTAGTTTTATAAAAATCAGTTAAGCTTAGTTGCATAAATGGAGATATTCATTTTGTTTTCATTTTGGGAAAAATTCAAAATGATCAATTATCCCCAGGGAACATTGAAGACGGCGTTTCGCAGCTGGTCCCGTTGGCTGTGAAGCTCTTCCATAAGATGGTGGACTGCAGCGCGGCGTTTCACCTCACGCTCATCAACGTCTGCTTCAGTAATCTGCAGAGCAGAGCGCCGCCTGCGAGCGGGAAGGGCGCCATCACGTCATTCTTCACGCAGAGCGCATCACCCAGGAAGTCCCAGACATCGTCCGTACAAAGCCAGGTTATCATGCAACTTTGATGCAACTTTATTTGTCTGTTAGTATCTTTGGAGGTATGAAATGCTGAAAATCAAATTTTTGGGAAATGTCCGTTTGCTGGGTACAAAAAATATGCCATTGTTGTGATCAAGCAAATCAATTTCTGTAACCAGAAGTGGCAGAAAAACAAACTGTGTCCAAGTTTCAAACATCAAGCTGCTGATTTGAACTAAACTTAGTTTGCTTTATGTTTTACACTTCAAAAAACATGGGGAAATGTCTTACTTTTCCACTAATATTAGAAATTATTTACCTAAGACAAGCTCTTATTGTGATAATAAATTGATTAAATATTGTGTTGGACTAAAATAATACACCCATAATTTACACCGTGTCCCAAATTGTTATGCAAGTGATATTTTCTGAAATGTTAAATGCAAATGATGGAAATTGGACAGTTTTTTAATGAATAAAAAAGAAGAATTTTTTTCTATTTGAACAGAAAAATAAAAGTTGTTAGCTTTGTTTTGACCAGAGCTAACAAAATAATTATTTCTCTTTTAACTGTTCATGAAATTGACTACTTTAATTAATTTTCTATAATATCATAATCTAATTGGTCTAGTTTTGTGTTGTTTTTCTTGCTCTGTTGTTACAGTAATTTATTAGATCGTTAAACCTTTTCTTCTTCTGCTGCTGTTTTATTCCTGCAGAATAATTCAGCCCAGAATGCTGACAGTTGCCTTTTGGACCATCAGATCAGTGAATGCAGCAGAAATGTTCCACCAAAAGGTCAAATGACTTGTAAGTCTGAACAACCAGAGGAAACCTCTGAAGCGTCCTGCAGCACAGGGGGAATAAATTCGGACAAAACCAAACCGCCACCGCAGGTCGACCCGGAGGTGTTCAGGCTCCTCCCAGAAGAAATCCAGAAGGAACTTTTATCTCCTTATTATCTGAACTCCCTGCAAAGCCACATGTCGAAAAACGATTCTTCGATGAAAGCAGACAAGTCCAGAATGAATCACCAGCAGCCGGCGGGAATACCAGTAATTCATGAAGAAAACGTCATGGAGCAGGGGAATTTATCGCTTCCCCAATCATCTGACTGTAACTTCCCGGGAAACGTGGACCCTGAGGTGTTTTCTGAACTTCCCCCCGATGTCCAGAAGGAGCTCATGTCTGAATGGAAGCAGCAGAACCCGGTTCTGAAGACTCCGTCATCCAGGAAAACGGGGAAAGGCTCCCTCTCCAAAGGCAAAGACAGAAAGGCTGAAGGAAGGAGCAGCCAGTCGAATAATCTGCTCAAGTATTTCAAACCCGGTTAGAGAAAAACAGTTGGGTCATAAATGAGGACTTTGTTTCAGAAACAAAGTCCTCATTTTTAGGTTCTAGGAAAATAAAAGAAACATCTCACTGCTCGTTAAAGTTGATTTTCAGTGTCATTACATCAAATTAAACGTAACGTTATGGAGTCTTAAGTTCAATAAATGATTTTATTTTAATAGAAAAAAATTGGTTTGAAATGGAAACTATTTCTTGTTTTTGTACTTCCATTTGGGTCTCGCCTGTTTCTAGAAACAATCCACGTGCTTAAAAAAAGAAAACACCCTCCTATCCGACCTACCAAAAAAAAGGCAACAAGTTAATGTTTTTTAATGTGTGGAAAACGAGTCGTTTCAAAACATCCCTATTGTTGAGTCACAATGCGCTGTTGCCTAGCAACCCCAACAAAGCCCAGTCAGTCACCTAGCAACCCAGGTGGAGCGCCAGCATGTGGGGCTGGTTTGGCAGCGATATGTGCTGTACAATGGCTGCTGGAAAAGACTTCCAGAAACAACTTGCTGTATTCTTGTTTGTTGTGCAGGAGGCTCTACTTCTGCTTGTCAATGACAGACGGTTGTGTAATTGTGCATCTTTTTGCAGCCATTTTCAGGTGAGTGTAAACATTGAGTTGGGAGGCGAGGCCAGCAGCAGTTTTTTTGGATTTCAAGAGGCTCTAAAACATCTTATTCTGAAAGCTCAAGATAGGCAGAACTGACCAGACTAAAATTAACTAAGAACCATTTTGTGTAAAAACGTAAATAACATGTTTTCTATAGATTATAGGAAGAAAGAATTTAAGGTTGGCTTTAAATTTGTTTTGTCGTTTTTGTAGAATATTAAGAGAAGCAGGATTACTCAGTCTGTAGAAGTGGGCCACATTCCTTTCTGGGATGTTTTGGTTTTTTTACTAAAATCCAATGCGGCACATTATTAGTCGAATTTTCTGACTTTTCTTCCCCTCAACCCTCCTTTCCTTCATGAGACAAAGCAGTAAACACAGACTGTAAGCGCGACTCCCCCTGGATCTCAGCGGCTGGAAACTCCTCCCCGGATCACATGTGAGGCGAGGGAAAAGGTTCAGGCTCTGCAATGTGCCTTCGCTTCATGACAGCCAGTAGTTTTATTTCATAAAGTAGTGAACAGCTTCTGAATGGATGTTTGTGCTTCCAGCAGATAGATCGGTAAGATTCCTGTCACATTCAATGATGCTGAGAATTTTAGGAAACTAAATCTTCATTCTTTTAATAATCTTGTCAGTTTCACAGAAATACTTACTACTCTTGCTGAATTTTCAATCACCTTAAACTATTAAGACACCTACTTTATAAAGTTATTGACTGTTTCTCATTTTTAAATGAAATCCACTCAGTTTTTGATGGCCAGGCTGCTCCCAGTCAGAGCCACATCTCATAACGATGACCTCAGTGGCGTCGCTCTCTAAGTCAATGAAAGGATTCTTATTTTGCTGAGCGAATTCAGGGAAAACTCCAGAGAGGCATTTGACTGCTCATGTGGAATCCAGCCCCAGTCATGTGCTTATCCTTCTGTGATCAAGGAGTTATTATGTGCTGTTAAGCCTCTCTGGTGGTCATGCAGGAGGAAAACAGCAGCTTTGATGGAAGAATTTAACTCGCCCTGTCAGGATTTACTGAAAATTGCTCTAACGTGTCTGAACTCCCATGAAATTGTCGTTCACAGGTTCAACCAAGCAGCACGATGGTGGACTGGGACTATGACTATCTGATCAAGCTGCTGGCGCTCGGCGACTCGGGCGTGGGAAAGACCACCTTCCTCTACAGGTACACGGACGGCAAGTTCAACAGGAAGTTCACGACCACGGTGGGAATTGACTTCAGAGAAAAGAGAGTGGTGAGTGTTGGGGAAGATAAAACCAGCTAACGTCCTTCCATTATAAACAAATTCAATATGAAACAAAAACATGCCAAGATAAATCATTTTGGTAATTCTAACTGTTAAAACAAGAAAAGTTTGGTCCGATTTAACTAAGGACAGTGAGAAAAAAATGTGTATGTGTTTTTATTCGGTGTATGTAAATATCTGTTTTTAGCTGTATGTAGTATTTGCCTAGAATTTCTACATCATACGTTAAATTGATGTTTTACATTAAAATTTAACATATTACTTAATCTAAAATGAAAGTTTGACCGTCAGTAAAACAGTGTCTTCAGTCAGAGACTTCTCCCCACAGCCATTACCATCTAACAACTCTTTAATTAAATGAGTTACAATAACATTTAATTTCCCTTTGGGATCAATAAAGTATTTTTGAAATGAATCGAATGTTGGTAACACTGAAAATGGCTGACTTGAGCACATCTCCATGGAGTGAACCAGTGTTTCACGTTATGGTTTATTGTTGACTCTAAGGGACGTTGGTAATTCAAGATGGAAATGTAAAATTTGGTATAATTGGCATAAGGTATGTTGGAATTATATAATCTGACCAAAGTGGAGAATAACGATAATGAATGAAAGTGGCTCAAAATTAGAGCCTTGAGGAATGCGCCTGATGACATTTTTCTCATCCTGATTAAAACAAAGTTGTCCTGGTTTTCCAAGTAAATGATGATGGGGTTCTGGTTTGGTTCAGATTTACACGGGGACAGGTGCTGATGGGACGAGTGAGAGGAACTTCAGAGTCCACCTCCAGCTTTGGGACACAGCGGGTCAGGAGAGGTAAGTTTGACATTTTTGACATTGATCTGTGAAAAGAAGATACTTTTTACCTCGATGGTTAAATGTCCTTCATTCCAAGGTTTCGCAGCCTCACAACAGCTTTCTTCCGAGATGCAATGGGTTTCCTGTTGATGTTTGACTTGACCAATCAGCAAAGTTTTGCTAACGTCAGGAACTGGATGAGTATGTTGTTTTTGGTTCCTCTCCTGTTGATTTCTAAGCCTGGTTGAGTCGTAGTTTCAGGTTGGTTGAACAGTTTCCTGGATGTTTATGCAGGTCAGCTTCAGGCCAACGCGTACTGCGATAACCCAGATGTGGTGCTGGTGGGCACTAAGGCAGACATCAGAGACACGAGGAACGTTAACGCCAAGCTGGCCAGAGAGATGGCTGACAGATACGGGTGAGTGGAAACTGATCAGTCTTTATCAGTTTGGAAGATTGGCCTTTTATCTGTTGATAGGATTTTCTTCCTATCCCCATTTTATTGAATTTAGCAACTGTTGGCTAAATCAATGTTTTATCCCCTGTTGCAAAGTTATGATGAGATATCCTTTAAGACATGTAAGCAAAATAAATATAAAGATAAGAATATTTGTCTAGATCTCGTGAACTGTTTTGAAGATGCTGCATCTTGTGCAGTTTTGTGAAATGTTCCCGTTTCCCTCAGCGTCCCCTACTTTGAGACGAGTGCTGTGTCGGGAGTGAATGTGGACGCCGCTGTGCTCACCCTGCTGAACCTGGTGATGAAGAGGATGGAGCAGAGCACGTTTGGGGCCCCCGGCTCGGAACCCAACGGCAGCCCCTGCGCCAGCCATGAGGTGGAGGAGGCCCCCATCAGGAGGTGGTGCTCCTGTTAATGTCCCCAGCAGCAGGAGCAGCAGCAGCAACGGTATAGGAGAAACAGACTTTAAAAAGTGATGTTTAGACAAAGATTTATTGGAATTTCCCACATTTCTTTTGGTTTCTCTTGTGTTAAGAACAGAATAAACTACTTTTGCCAGTTTCTCCTCCTAGTTTGTTTACAACACAAAGACGCAACAAATACTTATGAACTTAAAAAAAAAAAAATTAAAAAACCTCATCAGTCTTACTTGTGCGGCACAAAGTGAATTTATGCAAATAAACTTAGCGTGGTTAGGATACGTCTATAGACAGTAAATTTTTTTACACAAAATTATTCTTAGATGATGAGATTTTGGTCTGTTCAGTTCGGACTATTTTCAGCTCCTTCCAGAAAAAAACTGTTTTAGGGTCTCTTGTCACTTTTAATACAAATAAACTGAGCAAACAGAATTACACAGCTGTACATTTTTGAAAAGAAGAAATTTCTGGATGCTAGCTCAACCACAAAAAAAATGGCGTACTGTTACAGTGTGTTTGCTTGATTGCCCATCCTGTGATAGAGCAACCATGTAAACGCAGGTCCAGGTCATGAGATTCCATACACATCTAAAAATACTCACTTCAGTACTTTTTACTAGCAGAAGTTAATCAATATTGCATCTGCTGGTAAATTTGTGCTTTAAAAAACACCAACCTGTTTTAACAGGAGTGTTAGAGTACATGAATCTTGACTAAAAAAGTTTAATTAGGCAAAAATGTACATTTAAGGTAATGATGGATTTATTTTCTTATTTTGAGGAGGCTGTAAGAGTTGGGCATTAATTTAAAAAATAAGTATAATCTTACAGTGGTTGATTATACTGTACTGTGTCAATTTGAGGTGCTGCCTGACAAAATGTACAGAATAATGTATTTTTATCAAGGTGAATAATTAAAGCAGTATTACAAATTAAAATTTTTAATGTTTTATTTTTTTTGTCTCCAGCTTAAACAATAATATATGACTGATGAAAAACAGCAGCATTTGAATCAGTATTCATAGAAACATTCAGTTCCAATTTATCTATATAAATTACAAATATATTTATTATGTCATTTATACAATTATATAATTGACAGCAAATGTCATGTAGTGTCACTTCCAGTTTATATATCTTTATAGTCATTTCAATCCATTTCACAAAGATGGATTCAGAGTCAATTGCATGGATTCTAGTTCAAACCTTATTAAGCAATGAACAAAAGATCAGTTTATTATTCAACTTTGTAAAAAGCGTTTTATCCAAGAAATCCCAGCAGATAGTATCCTGTCACTGCAGTTTCACTCCTCCAGGACGAGCATGTAGCAACAGGACAGTCGACTGGTTTGAATCTAAATTTGCTGCAAATCTCAAGTTATTAACACAGACTTTGCTAATAACTCCTAATAACTAACTTTTTTATGTCATATAAAATCAATGTTATTTTGTTAAGGTTTTTTTTTTCTTAAAAGAATAAAGAAAAATGCAGAATTTAGTACTTTTTTTTTCAAAGTTCTGCTGTTTCTAGATTAACACTGGGACTAAAATAAACCAAAATCATCAAACACTAGCCATCCTTCAACATGTCACTCAGCTTGCTAGCTTTTATTTTTCACAACCAGAAATATTTCCTGAACAACCAAATTTGTCTTTGAGTGATTACTGCAGCAGTCTGGCTGGTCAAAGTGAGCAGCAACAGGTGGGGGATGGGCAGCAAAGTACTACACTATAACATTTTTGGCTGGGAAAATTCCCTCCAGCTCTTTCTCTGGCATCTCATTAAAATTATTTTTAACTTTAGGAACATGAAGGGAATTTGTTGCTACCATGTAACCAGTTGCTGACTGGTGTCTGATCCACAAAACCTCAAGAGGTAGAAATTTAAAACCTTTTTGAGCTGATATTTAATGAAAAATCAATCTAAGAAAGAACAAAGAAAAAAAAAACAATTACTTCATTAAATGAATTTCTCATTTGGTTATAATTATTTCAGTTTACAGATCTCGGCTGTGTCGCCGATGCTGAACCAGAGTTGTATTCCAGCATAGAGCGGCTGGGTGAAGCTGGTCTGGACTCTGTGGATCAGAGTCATGGTCTCTGAGACGTTGTAGAACGACAGGGCACCAGCTGGTTGGTCCAGGTAAACTCCGACTCTGGAGAACTCAGAACCAGGGATGGCAGTTCGGATGCTGTTGTACCAAAATTGATGATTGTTTGGGCAACAAAATAAAGACCAGGATTTGTCATTTTGTCCAAACACACTGTTTTTTTTATAAACATCCTTGTATGCAACTGCCACATAACTTCCCCGTCCTGCTTGTCCTCCCCACTGCACCTCCCAGTAACATCGCTGAGACAAACTCTGTTTACTCAGGATCTGGAATTTAACTGACAACCGCTCTGGGTGATCAGGATAGAACTGACTTTGTATCATAAGGGTTACCTTCCTGTTCCCCTCAGACAGTAGGAGGTTCATGTGAGCTGTGTTTGGATCCAAGGTGATTTCCTGTGAATATCGTAGGAAGTCATCTCTGGTCCTTGGTTCTGGTTCTAACAGTACAACATCCACATCAGTGACTTTCAGTGAGATGTTTGTCCATTTCTCCTTCAGGATGTCCTGCAGTTCATCTCTCAGTTTTGACAAGTTTGGTGTCACGTCTTCAATGTACCTCAGAGGACCAACAACGATGCTGGATGAGTGTTTTGTTTCATTAAAAGCAGACATTAAGAGGTATTGCTGCAGAAACTGGTTGTGATCCTCCGTATGCGAGAGCTGCTCCAGCTCAGCATCTTTCCTTTTTAGTTCAGAGATCTCCTGCTGCAGCTTCTCCTGAAGATCTCTGACTCGACTCAACTCAGACTCCTGCTGGGATCTGATCTGCTGCTTCACCTCACAGCCTCTTTTCTCAATGAGACGCATCACCTCAGAGAAGATCCTGTCGTTGTTCTCCACTGCTTTATTAGCACAGTCGTTAATGGCGTCCACTTCCTGCTGAAGCAGCTTCATGTCTCTCTCTCCATCTTCCATTGTCTGATGCATTTCTCCTCTCTTCACCTCCAGATCTTTCTGCTTCTCCTTCCTCTCTGCTGCAGCTGAAACCACGTCGTGACCTTTATGTTCATCCACCATGCAGACGTAACAGATGGTCTGCTGGTCGGTGCGGCAGAACATCTTCCTCACCTCATCGTGATGGGAGCAGATGTTGTCGTGGAGCTGCTTGGAGGGCTGCACCAGTTGGTGCTTCTTCAACTGAGCCACGTCGTAATGAGGCTGCAGGTGTTGGTCACAATAAGACACCAAACACATCAAACACGACTTTATAGCTTTTAGTTTCCTCCCTGTACAAATATCACAGGCCACATCTTCAGGTCCAGCACAACTCTGTTCAGTAAGAAAAGCTCTGTGTCCAGTTAACTCCAGCTGCTCAGTTAATCCTGCCAACATGATGTTTTTCACCAGAGCAGGCCTTGTTGTGAAGGTCTGCCTGCACTGAGGACAGTTGTAGATGCCTTTCTTATTCTTTTCATCCCAGAAGTTTTTAATACACTTTAGGCAGTAGCTGTGTCCGCAGGGAATCATCACCGGATCCTTCAATAGATCCAGACAAACCGAACAAGAGAAACTCTCTGGGTCCAGCTGGACTTCTTTCTGCGCCATTTTTCCTCTCCGAGACGGTTTAAGCTTCACTTTCAGAGAAATGAGACCACACTGACTCTGCTCTACACATCATGAGGTTGTGGTTTGAAGGTGCGCCAGCACTGGATTTGCTGACAAACTTTCTCTGGTTGGGAGAAGCAGGAAATCTGTTGATAGAGTGATTCTGTTTGAGAGGAGGAACATGAAAGAGGAGAAATTAGAGCAGTTTGACAGAAAAACAGTGTTGAAACCTTTTTACAACAAAGCTTTGGTATCTAATCAATGTGTTCGTAGTCTTTTATGTCAAATCAATCACTTGCTGAATATATGAGTGACAGTTTATTGATGTTTGGATTTCTCTTTGTATTTATGTAAACGTTTTTTTAAATTACTAAAAGAAAAACAGACATATCTAAATGCTTTAATCATATATATATATATATGTACAAACATATATATGCAATTTGATAATTATACAGTTATTGTTTGTTCAGTCTATTATACACACACTAACATTTTAACCAGTATGGCTAGGCAATCAAGAACATACATTACATTACTGACAAAATCAAATCTTCAATATTATACATATAATGGACCTGTGTTATATATCTGTGATAAAAGATACTTTGTAACTGTCCTCTAATCCAATATCACGGGGAAAATAACATATAACAGCCTAACCTCGTCAACAGACATGCTAACGGTTGTTAGCTTTTGGCACCAGGGAAATTAACGGTCGCACTAACGGCAGCTAGCATCTCGGCCAGCGGCAGTAAACATTCAGTTCTAATATACAGAAATATCTCAAACTAGAATTGATGTCAACAAATCACGGTCCTGAAATTATAAAAATTAGAAAAACTAAATAAAAAATAACCCACCTGTGAAAACAGAAGACATAGTAGTGGCTGCACTGCGCCGCTTAGTCATAAGTCTTATGTGCTACGTTACGCGCTTTAAATCATCTTCTTCTGCATAAGGCTCGGAAGTCAGTCTCTCTCCCATGCGCTACCACTGCCATCTTTTGGTATAAATTGGTATTGTACCGCCAGCACCACATACCGAAAGCAATCAAAACAAAGGCAATAAAATAAAAAATTGTTGGGGGTCTATTTGAATAATTAAGTAATTCTTGGTGCCACATATGAACGTACAAATTTATTTTTTTAAAAGCCCCAAGATCAGCGATCATGCATGTTCATAGCATGTGGTTGCTAGGTTAACAATCAGGAGGTGTTCACCGAAACACGTTAACTCGTTACCAAAAACAAATGTTTGAAGCCCTGGGGCTGATTTTAGAAGCAGCTGAAATCCAAATGGAAGAATTAAAACCTATATTAATTTTGCATAATAGATACCCTTTAAAGATTGAACAACCATGGCTTGTTTGAAGGGTCTTTTTCTTTGTAAGATTCATAATTATACCTTAAATTAAAACTTGAAGAAAACTGGAGAATTATACATATAGAAGAAAAATAAAAATCTGTTGTAACCTGGTAAATAGTGAAGTTTCTGTCAAAATATTATGCAGCAGCTTTTCAGTTTTTATGAAAATAATTATTCAATTTAAGACGTTTTCATTATAATTCACCAACATATTTATGTATATTCAACATATTAACATGATCTAACTTGTTTCAACCACCACTACACCTGTTATCCAGGACAACAGCGCCCTCTTGTGTTTTCATCAGTTTTTAGCTCAGCTTTGAATTGGGGAGATGGTTTGATCAGTTTGCAACACTGATGCTGCGTTCAAGTGAAGGCGGAAAGTCTTGTCAGCAAACTCTCAAGATGCAGTCTGCATCTTGGGAGAACATGATTAGCTTACTTCAGCTGTGATATTCAGTTGGTGACTTTAAAACAATCAGATGAGACTTAAATCCTGATGATGAAGACAGACACCAATATATTTGATCCTAAGTAAAGTAAATTTAATTTTATCAAAACATTTCATGGTTAGTTTATTTATGGAAGCCCGCTTCTGCCACTCTGTTCAAAAACAGAGCGGCATTAACTCTAGAAAAAGTCAAGTTTTTAGCTATTGATGTTCTACTTTCTATTGACTTTCTGCTCTGATACAGACCCAAGTGGGTCAAACTGGGGCAGGGATTCACTTTTCACAGAAAAAAGTGACTATTTTACACAAATAGGAAAAAAAAGAAATGAATTTGCTTGAAAACCAGTTTAATCAGTAGCAAAACCACTTTTAATAAAATCAGTTTAGTGTCATTTTCAACCTAATCCAGCTTCACCTTTAACAAAACGGACCTAAAAGGATTTTCCACAATTCTTTAGTCACACAGAACCTGTTCTTTTATCTTAAAATCAAAACAGTTTTAATAAAGTCAGTCGTTATCAACACCCAACAAATAAAAAAAAACCCTACAAAGTAAAACAAAATGAGCACAAATACACAGACTAAAGGAGAGCCAATCATAAAACAGACAAAGCTTCCAATAAAAGAGAAACTACTTGTAGGACAAACATCCTGATTTGAACATGCTCTGTACTTTGACTCATTTCAGTGTACAGATCTCTGCGGTGTCTCCCATTCGGAACCAGAGCTGGACTCCGGCGTAGAGTGGCTGAGTGAAGCTGGTCTCGACCCGGTGGAGCAGCCTCATGCCCTCCGAGACACTGTAGAACGACACAGAACCAGCACTCTCATCCAGGTAAACGCCCACACTGGAGAAATCTTCTCCAGCAATGGGGGTTTTAATTTTGTTGTGCATAAACTGATTTTTGTCTTTTTGGCAAAACAAAGCCCAGGACTCTTCGTTACAGCCAAACGAAGTCTTTGTTTTTTTCACATCCTTGTAGGCGACTGCAACATAGCCCCCCAGTCCAGCCCACTGTATCTCCCAGTAGCAGCGCCCAGTCAGGATCTGCTTACTCAGCACCTGGAAGAAAGCAGAAAACCTCTTTGGGTGATGGTTTTGGATCTGATCTTTTCGCATCAGGGTCGCCTTCCTGTTCCCCTCGGATAGCAGCAGCTGTTTGTGAGCGGTTTCTGGGTCAAAGGTAATTTCTTGTAAGTATTTCAGAAATTCATGTCTCATTTTAGGTTCTGGATCCAGGAGGAAAGCATCTACTTCAGCGACTGTCAGTGAGATGTTTGTCCAACTGTCTCGTAAAATGTCCTGAAGTTTGTCTTTGAGATCTGAAACAGCAGTTGTCACGTCTCCATACCAGGCCCATGGACACATACAGTCTCTAGTCTCACCAACAGCAGACATTGAGGGGTATTTCTGCAGAAACTGGTTGTGATCCTCCGTGTGCGAGAGCTGCTCCAGCTCAGCATCTTCCCTTTTTAGCTCAGAGATCTCCTGCTGCAGCTTCTCCTGAAGATCTCTGACTCGACTCAACTCAGACTCCTGCTGGGATCTGATCTGCTGCTTCACCTCACAGCCTCTTTTCTCAATGAGACGCATCACCTCAGAGAAGATCCTGTCGTTGTTCTCCACTGCCTTATTAGCACAGTTGTTAATGGCGTCCACTTCCTGCTGAAGCAGCTTCATGTCTCTCTCTCCATCTTCCATTGTCTGATGCATTTCTCCTCTCTTCACCTCCAGATCTTTCTGCTTCTCCTTCCTCTCTGCTGCAGCTGAAACCACGTCGTGACCTTTATGTTCATCCACCATGCAGACGTAACAGATGGTCTGCTGGTCGGTGCGGCAGAACATCTTCCTCACCTCATCGTGATGGGAGCAGATGTTGTCGTGGAGCTGCTTGGAGGGCTGCACCAGTTGGTGCTTCTTCAACTGAGCCACGTCGTAATGAGGCTGCAGGTGTTGGTCACAATAAGACACCAAACACATCAAACACGACTTTATAGCCTTTAGTTTCCTTCCTGTGCACATATCACAGGCCACATCTTCAGGTCCAGCATAAGTTTTACCAGTAGGAGAAGTTCCGAATGTAGTTAGCCTCAGCTGCTCGGCTAACGCCGCTAGCATGGTGCTTTTCACCAGGACAGGCCTCGGTGTGAATGTCTGTCTGCACTGAGGACAGCTTTGTTCTCCTTTATGGTCCTCCTCATCCCAGTGCTCTTCAATACACTTTAGGCAGTAGCTGTGTCCGCAGGGAATCGTCACCGGATCCTTCAGCAGGTCCAGACAAACTGAACAGGAGAAACTCTCTTGGTCCAGATGAACTCCGTTCTGCGCCATCTTTGCTCTCGGTGACCGTTAAAGTTTCGTTTTCTGACAAGTGAAACTCGTCTGAAGTCCAAGAACTCGTTCTCGAAACAACTTTTTTAAAAGCTGCACTGGACCATTTGCTGACTGAAAAGCTGAACGCCCTCAGGGATCGCGTCGCCGAACTGTTACTCGCGCTTTCCGCTTCACGTTCAAATAAGGAGCGCGTCACCAGCGTCATTCTACGCCATTTCCGGTCACAGAACATTTCGCACGTAACCAACACCGCCATCTTGAAAGGGGCAATTTCTTAGCGAAACGACAAGAAATATGGTAGCTTTAATAACTTTCCACGCTATTCATTGTGTTTTTAGTAGTGTCGAGGTACAGACCAGAAGTTAGAGGGTATTTAACTTAACAACTCAGAGGAGAATTTTTTTAAAAACATCAAAAACAGCATTAAACGCTGTATTTGTTTGAAACAAAATTGTACAAATAAAATTCTATATAAAGTTAGTAGCTGCAAACCTGAATATGTAGACCTGTTGTCATTATATCAACCCTCCAGATCATTCAGGTCTTCTAGTACAACTCCACTCTTCCTCCAAACATGCAGAACAGCATTTAGTTTTTATGCTCATCTAATCTGGAACAAACTTCCAGAAAACTGCAAAACTGTTGAAACACCGATCTTCTTTAAATCAATTATGAAATCTAATATATTTAGAATTGCCTTTGATTAATAACACCTAGAAATTAGACAAATTTTTTGTGGATTCAATCACTTTGGTTTGTTTTGCCACTGTGCCATTTGTGAGGAAATACTAGCAGCTGGAAGAGGCAAAAAGTAATGTATATTTTTATACAGTGTATGTAAAGATAAGATTAAATGAAATCACACTTGAGACATATACGTCATTATGAATAGTTTTCTAAATTGTTTCATGACAAAGCTAAAATACAAGCAAAAACAAACTGATGTGTTTGTCAGTCCATGTTGTTTACATGGACTAAATAGAAGAATAAATGGTCTAAATAATAAAGATATATGAGTGATTACTGATAAAGACGTAACTTTATCCAGAACTTTTCTCATGTATGGATACAACCACAAGGACTTTAGTACAGAAAATTCAAACCACTTTTTTGGGTAAAGTCTAGAGAAGTGTGAGCAATTATCAGGGTAACATTAGGAAGAGAGATAGGAGGGCTCCGTATTAGAAAGCTTGAAAAACAGGTTCTTACATGAGCTGGCTCTATTCTATAACGATCTGAAAATCAAGACCAGTTAACCCACAACTGTCCTTAAATCTGCCGTTAGTTTTTACTCTTAGTTTGAAAAGCCAGGTAAAATACTTTCAATCCACTTTCACTTTAAATTATACCAATTGGTCACAATTAAATCTAACTCTATAATATGGTTTACGTTATTTGTCTAAATTCAGTAAGGCTCTTATTTTCAGAAGTAAATAGAAAAGTAATTGCAATTCTGATCATTTGTTTACTATCGCTCATCATAAACACAACTGTTCATTTTACAAGGTGAAAAAAAATTAAAATCATACATCAAACAACTTGTAAACGGAGAATAATTTGTTTTCCAATTGATGGAGAGAGCAAATTTTTCGCATTCATAGAAATCTTCATTACATTTTAATTGTTTTGAGATGTCAAATTTTTCTATATAACCTTTCTACAGAGCGCTAAATGTTTGCTTCTTTACAAATAGTAGTCATAAATTCACATGATTTCAATTTATTGTTGTTGAAAAAAGACCCAATAATGATTTTGGCAACAAAAGGTCAGAAAGAAGTATTGAAAAATTCTTAGTGTGACCATAAATACATATAGGTTTACAAGTGTTACTTATGCAGGTAAGAAAAAAAATTAATAACTGATTAAAAAATTCTAGAATAATAAAAATAACAATAAATTGTGAAATATATATAACTTAGCTTTTTAAGACTTAGTGTGGCGATTGTTGATGCTTTGAAAAGTAGTTTGAAT